GTGTAACTTTTTAATTATAATCATTATCATAATTATGATTAGTATTTGGTTATCATACATCAATATTTATTATAAATCAACAAAGCATTATGCCAAATATTTTATATGAAAATTCATTTAATACACATGAAATTCATGAGCAGTAGGTCCAACTTGTAGATAAAGAAATCAAGGCTTTAAAGGATAAGTATCTTCCCAAGATGACATGGCTAGTAAGTAGAAGTGCTATGATCTAGACCAGTGATGGTGAACCTTTTGAGCTCAGCGTGTCAGCATTTTGAAAAACCCTAACTTAACTCTGGTGCCGTGTCACATATAGAAATTTTTTGATATTTGCAACCATAGTAAAACAAAGACTTATATTTTTGATACTTATTTTATATATTTAAATGCCATTTAACAAAGAAAAATCAACCAAAAAAATGAGTTCGCGTGTCACCTCTGACACGTGTGTCATAGGTTCGCCATCACTGATCTAGACCCAAGTCTCTTTGAGTTCCAAATATATGTTTCTAATCCCTCCATGTTTCTCTTGTATATTTAGTCAATCACTGTAAGTTTACTTACTAACACGATTGTTTTCCATTTAAATTATTACATATGTGCATATACACAGCAATTATGGATTGCTTTCTTCTTTGACGCAGGATGCTATAATTAAAAATATATTAAATGAAGAGACAGAATGCCTAGGCTCAAAGGTGTTGATAGGCCTATTGGTTTTATAAACGTTGCCAAGATACCTCAACTGCCTGGGACTACTTTCTTATTTACTGATCCTGGTTCTGACTGTGATAATGAGAGTCGTGTTTTATAAGAATGTGATTAATAGGGGTGGGGGAGGAAGAGTGGAATCACTATTATGCTATTATGCAGAAACTTGAGGTGGCAAAAGTGTTTTAACAAGTCTTCTAGATAATTCTGATGCATGCCAATATTTGCGAAAACCTGGTTCAGACTGTAACTACTTCCACTAAGATCACAAAATCAAACAGTTAAAACAAAGATCCATATTTGCATTAAAGCTCTTCTTTTCCTTCTGAAAATTACCTCCTTAGGATAATAGTAAGTATGACCATTGTTGAACAGACCTGCTTTACGTCCTGATCCTCAGGAAAATACTTGCATGAAGACTAAAGCCTGTGAGGTATGAGAGAATAGACTTAGAGTTGGAAGGGATGTTCAATAAGCTGGAAAACATACAATTGAGATGAATAAAGTACGGCCAAATTGAGGTACATCAGGAATTCTATTTTTCTGTGGCTATAGAAAGCTGGAAATAGTATTGCCTTTACTCTAATAGAAAAAACTATATAAACTAAAAAAATCACAACTTTGCTGAACACACCCAAGAACTGAAGTCACCGGTCAACCAAGTAGAATCAAATCCACTGAATCTCAGGCCCCTCCAAGGAGAGATGAGACAAACATCTGCTCACAGTGACAGACTACAGAAGGAAGAAATGCTACAATTTTTAATGGATTGGTAAAGATCAGGTGTGAACAAGGGTAAGAGTATAAAACTGATCAGGTGTGAACAAGGGTAAGAGTATAAAACTCCTGGGAGCTGTAGACATGGGGAGTTTGCAACCACTGAGAGACTCTTCTCCATGACCTCAATCTCCTGTTCATGAGAAAGATTGTAGGCAGAGCAGGAGATGGCCAAGTGCATTCCTTGGTATTACAGGCTTGGAAAAGGGAATAGGTCACTGCTGTGAGCACGAAGCCCTGTTGCAACTCTTTCTGAGAAACAAAGCCCTAAGCCTCAGGGGGTGGAGCAGAAAACCCTCTCACCACCAGGGCAAAGGTATAGACTTAGTGTAGCCAAAGGAAAGGTGTTAAAAAAACAAAACACTTCTGCCCCTGGGGGAGTTCTGGGCACAGGTTCCTACCCCAATAACATTAGAGGTCTACAACTGTGAGAGGGCAAAGAAACTCTCCTATGGAAGACCAACGAGAGCCATAAGGTGGAGTGTGGTTGTCACGGAGACAAAAAATAGGACCACTGAGAAGGGCAAGCCCTCAGACCTGAAAACACAGAGCCTGTCTAAAGAAGAGGCTGTGCTAAGACAATAAAGAATCCCCAGCCCTCACTACCAGACTAGCAAGCACCAAGTAATGAGCAAATTCAGTCTACCACTGAAAAAGGAAAAAAGTGTGCAGAGGGACATAGTTCATGGTGAATATAAATGGGGAAGCTAAAGATGAAAGACAAACATTGATAAAATACCTCTTAAATCTCAGCTTCCCATCTAAGAAAAATGAATTTGAAGTCAATGTTACTTTGAAGATAATAATAGGAACAAGAAAAACCAAACTCAGCTTAATTACTGACTAGATTCACTCAACAACACCCCCTCCCATATATGCACATACATTAATAGCCTAACAGAAGAGATGTGTCTACTTCCAGACATAAAGTCTCTACTATTATATACATACTGTCTGGTGTTTAATAAAAAATTACATGACACACAGAAAGGCAAGAAGAAAGTATCAGTGTTAAGACATAAAATAACAGAACAGACTCAAATATGACCCTTTTGTTTAAAGTATCCAACAGAATTTAAAGTAACTATGATTAATTTGTTAAAGATTCTAATGAAAATGCAGACAACATGCAAAAATAGATGGGAAATTTCAGCAAGGAGATTTTGTTTTGAAATGAATTGTCCTCCCCTCAATTCACATGTCAAAACTCTAAACCCCAATGTGACTGCACTTGGAGGGAGGTCCATTAGGAAGGTAATTAAGGTTAAATGAGGTCATAAGAGTGAGACTGTAATCCCATTAGTGACCTTATAAGAAGATGAAGAGGCACCAGAGCTCTCTCTCCATGTGTAAAGGCCATGTGAGGATAGAGCAATGAAGTACCATCTACAAGCCAGTAAAAGAGGCCTTCCTAGATGCCAACACAGTACCTGATCTTGAACTTCTAGTTTCCAGAACTATGAGAAAATAAATTTTTGCTGTTTTAGACATTCTATGTTATTTAGTCATGAAAGCCTGAGCAGACTAATACACGTGAGAAGTATAATAATGGGTCAAATGGAAATGCTAGAGATAGAAAACATAATAAGAAAGATAAAGAATGCTTTTACAAGTTTATCAGTAGACTTAGGATAACTGAAGAAACAATCCCAGAACTTAAAGATAGGTTCACAGAAATTACTGAAACTTAGACTAAGAAAGAATGACAAAAAAATAACAGAGCATCCAAGAGTTATGGGGTAAAATGAAACAACCTAGTTTATATGTAATTAAAGTTCAATAAGGTGAAGAGGGACAATAGTGCAGAAGAATTTTGTGAATAAATAATGGTTGAAAAAGTTTAAAAATTCATGACAGACACCACAATACAGATGCAAGAAATTCATAGAATTCTGAGGATAAATTACTACACACACACACACACACACACACACACACACACACACACAACCCTAGAAACATTGAATTCCAACTGCTGATAAAAAGAAAATGTTGAATGCAACCATAGGAAAAGGAATCATTACTTTCATGGGAATAACATTAATATTTACAACAGACTTCTTAGAAACCATGAAATTCAGAAAATAATGGAGTCAATGGTTTAAAGTGCAGACAGTAAAATAAAATTGTCATCCTAGAATTCCATACCCAATGAAAATGTCTTTAAATAGTGACACTACACAGACATACTGTACACAAAACATAAAAGGAAATTCTTCAGAGAGGACTTTGATACCAGACAAAATCTGAATCTCACACTGAAAAAAGTCTTCGGGAAAATCCATGTTCTCAACTCCTTTAGCTAACTGCACTGTTGAAAGGAATGCAGCCTCTATATCTCAGCCCATAGCTTCAGGGAGTGATCCTCTTAATCAGGACCTTGGACAGGACTGGAAAGCAATCAAGTTCCTACAGTGCTGTCATCTTAGCATCTAGCATCCTTCCAAAGACCAGCTGAAATGAATTAATGTCTTTGTTTGGAAAGTCACTAATATTTTTCAAATATGTTGACTGCAAGGAGTTCCATACCAGGAATATGAATGCATTGGTGACTGTATTAGAGAATTTTGTTGTTATAATATTGCAGAGAACTACAGCCTCTTTATTGCCCCCAAAAAATAATCACTAAAGGAAAGAGTTCAAACAATTTTAAAATTAACATTATGGCTGGACTGGTAAGCTACCATGGACTGATAGCCTTATTCTCTACACAATTTCTTGTCTTTTATTATGGCAACTGCTAGATTATTTTGAGCCTTGCTAGCTGCCTGTAATGAAATTTAATATATACTATCAGATGACCAGGACAGAATGTAAGGCTCAAAGACTACAGGAGAGAGGACAAACATTACACTCTTCATATATATTCTGTAGCCTGTAATGAAATTTAATATATACTATCAGATGACCAGGACAGAATGTGAGGCTCAAAGACTACAGGAGAGAGGACAAACATTACATTCATATTTGAATTTGTGAGAAGTCTAAGGATATCAGTATATGTCTAAAGAGGCAACTATAATGCAAAAAAGAATATTTCATAAACCACAACACAAAATTACCTTTATTATTAAAAACACATATGCTCTGTATATAGGGCATATAGAATGGACACAGCCAGTAGAATTTACTATGCTGTGTTTAAGTGAATACTTACTGCTGTCTTGCTGATTTTTTAGTTTCTTTTTTATTTTCTCCATTTGAAAACATCACTTTCAATAATACATTAAGAAGTAGAGCTGACTGCTTTGCAGTAACTTTGGTAATACCTTCTAAAGCATCCAGGATAAGATCACTATATGAGAAGTTCATGAGTACCAGTACTATCACCTTGATTTAGAAAATCAGGGATTTGTTTCGTGTTAGTAGGAAAGCAAAAGAAAGAAAATCTGTTCCATCTGTCTTACTAACTCAATTCCATCAAATAAACGCTTATTTTACTTCCATGTGTGAGCCATGGAAGACACGGGCAATCGGCTTAATGAAAGAAGGATGACGTGCTCACTTACTAATTTGACGCGATGGCCTGGGGTGGCACTGATTTCCCATGTGCACTCCTTCCTGCTTGGGTACTTGTCTGGCCAGTTGGGACTGGTGATGAGGCCACTTGGACTGTGGATCTTCTGTTCACATTCAGCTGTGCCAGTAACAATAAGATCAATCAGTGCAGAAATCTGGCCCAGTATTGGACCAACAATAAAGCAGTTTATCTACCCACTATCCTACTGAAAGACTTTTCTGAATACTAATGAACCATCACTCCAGTGTCTGTTATCATATTCATGTGCTTTGGCACACATGTTGCTGAGCACAATCAGGCAATGTTTGTTTTCTTGCTTTCGTGAAATTAAGTGTTTACAATGAATTTTATAAATGCCTGAAAGAAAATAAGCTATTTAAAATGGTTGGATCTGTAAGTTCAGACTTTAAACGAGCAGCATATATTGACAATTAAGGATATCAACACTTGGTATGTGCAAAATATTTAATGCAATACCACAAACAAAAATCAATGATTTTGACATTTCAATTAATTTTTTTCTATAAACAGAAAGATTATTTATAGCTAATTAAGATCATTGAGCCATTTTACGAATTATGTATTTATATTTCTCTCTCCTTTAATTGAAATATACACTTGAATACTGGATATATTTCTATCTATAAGGAAGTTTCCTATAAAATCCTTTCTTAAAAATATTTACTGTAATGAACAAACATTTATTTGCTACCTGTGAGCCCTGGGCTACATGCATACTCTGCAAAAGCTGTCTCTTTTTTTTGCTCTGAATTGTCTTCCATATCTGCAAAATGACTGGGTCTGTTCCCCAGCCTGTCAATTTCATAGATACTTTACCAAGTTACAAATATCAGAATCTCTAGGGTTCTGCATTCATACATGAAAGGGAAAAGAGATGAAAATCTTGCTTGCCTATGATTCTGGGTCATGTCAGGAGCTCAATGAAAACATGGGGAGAAAAATAAACTCTTGACTCATGACCATATTAGATTAGAACTGAATGGAATAAGGGTCATTTCACGATACTATTTGAATGTGCATACAAACAGTTGCTATCTAACTGTGGTTCTAGGCAGGTACCTACCAATCCACATGTGCTAATGACACAAGCTATAAAATCTGCCTTAGTAATTCTTTCAAAATAGGCATAAATCCAAGTTAAGTAGAAAATTCAGGAGCAGACCCTCAGCAACAATGATAGCCAATATGAGCTAGATGGGCGCACGGAATATGTATTCAGAAGAAGTAAAAAACTGAATAAATATTTCTTGTGCCCATCTAGCTCATATTGGGTATCATTGTTTTTATAAAATATTGAAATATTGTAAGGTCTGGGGTCCAAAACTGGTAGGCTACTGTTGTGCTATCAGTATGTTTCCTTCCTTCCTTTCTTCCTTCCTTCCTTCTTTCCTTCCTTCCTTCCTTCCTTTTGCTAAAACCAAGACTTAAAACTTTAAATGGCAAAGTATCTCCATTTTCAAATGCTTTTTGTCTGGTAGGCATCTGAGTTTGACTCTCCTGGTATTTAAAGTGGCATCACTCATATAGCACATATATGAGATATTTTGGGGAGGAAAAACGAAACCAAATGCAAAGCCTTTAGCAGAAATTCAGCTTAAATATGTAGACTGTCAAAAGGTCTGTCCAATGAAAACCTGGGGATAAAGTGGTCCTTTTCTGGCTGCCAGATGGCATCATAGCAGCAACTATGTCTGTTATACAAAGTTATTCTAATTCTACCCATGTGTGAAGTGCAGGCTCTTTAGGTAATATGAGGTTTCCAATAGTTTGCCTTGGATCTTGGACCACTGTGTGTGTGTGTGTGTGTGTGTGTGTGTGTGACATTTGAACACTCGAAAGTGATATCACTCACTGATACAAAGAGCTCTACCTGGAAGCAGTGTTTTACCCAAATGGCCTAAAATTCTAGCTGCTGTCAAGAAAAGAACACTCCTGAAATCTAGAAGCATGGAATAGAGTGTGGAATCTCGGAGGGAAGACAGGGGAGGGTGGGTGGGTGGGAGTTAATCAACCAAAGACCATGTATACAAGTATACATATATGCATAACTCATGGACATAGATAATAGGGTGGTGAAGGCTTGGGGCAGGGGGGCAGGGGCGGGTTGAGGGAGGTCAGTGGGGGAAGAAAAGGAGACATATAATACTTCCAACAATAAAGATTTTTTTAAAAAAAGAACACTCCCTTCATACCTTCCTTGCAGTCGTGTTTATTTTCATGCAGCACAAATCCATTCCTGCACTGACACACATAGCTTCCCATCGTGTTGACACATTCATGTTGACACCCACCATTATCCTTTGAGCATTCGTCTTTGTCTAGCAAAGAGATAGCCCCATAGTTTAGTAAGTAGCTTTAAAAACAAAGAATATCAAAGAAGAATCATTTAGTTGCGGTTAACACAGGCAAAGGGTAAACTAAGCCACAGCTTACCCTGTTCCCAACAGGAAAAAAAAAGACAAAAAAACAAAACAAAACAGATCTTAGTTCTATCCAGTCCTTGTTTAGCTTGGCGCCTTGTACCATGAATTGAGTGTCCAAGACCATTTGTGCCAGGATGAGAACTTATAGTCCTCTTTCATTCCTGAAGTAAAAGTTTTGAGTAGGACATAGAGAAAGAACAGATGTTTTTACAACTAATTCTGAACATTTACAGTCAATATTTAAAAATAAATGTAAAACTGTGAGTAGTTTGAATAAATGCAAGATATGGCATTAAAGTAGAGAGAAATTCTTCAATATATTAACCATGGTGTTTAGATAGAGGCTAAACAAGGCTCCAAGATTTGTGTATAATCACTTGAAAAATTAGTTAGTGTAACTACTCTAGTTGATTTTTTTCATTAACATTGCAGTTAGGCTAAGTATTGATGAATCTGGACATTTCATAATATTCTAAGACAGAAAAAGGCATCAACAGACTATCCTAAAGAAGAAAGCTAATTTATATCTATTTTAAAAATCTACTCCAGCAGCCCAGTTTATTAATAAGTAATTCCTTAAAAGGGCTTTTATTGTGCTAGAAGCAAAGGTTAGAATGGGAAATATGAGCTTTGAGAAACAGCCAACAAATGCACTACAGGAACAAAAGCCAAACTAGAGTGGCAGGCAGAGGCACCATCAGCACCACATCATGTCCCTCAGCTCTTAGTCCACGGCTGGCTTGTCTGTCAAAGTCGACAGATTGCTCATGACACACATATATGATGACATATCACTCACACTGTCATCACTCCCACACCACAGAGAACAAAAGGGACCCATGAAGTCGTATCAGGAGTTAGGCTGAATTCATAATTTACACTGTCAACTGGTTTTCCTAAAGGGAATTTGTGAGCTCACGGTAGGTCACAAATAGCAAATACTATATTTACATTTTTATCAAATCACTATTCCCTCTATGAAGATGGGTTTAAGAAACATGTTTTTGTCCAAGTATCTGAGAGTGATTTTTAAAGATACATACATCTATTTTTCCCCTTTTGGAGACTGATTGCATGGCAGAGTCCACACGGCTCCTGGCATATATTCATGCATTGGTAATATCAAAATATTCCAAATAGAAGCAGGCAGTCCCAAAGTTTTAAAGAACATTATCAGAATCATTATCTCTATGTGATATGTGTATTCTACCTATCTTTAACAGTTTCTTACACTTTTAATATTTACTATGGAGACTAAAGAAACACATTCAAAATGTAGAATAAGGAAAATTGGCTAGCACCAAACACCAATATGTATAGAAATTAGAATTTAATAGAAAATGAGCCTGGTAAAATTAATTTGAGAAATTTATAATAATTTGGAATCTCTGCTCCCTTATTTGCATCAATAGTGAAAATTATAGTTTGAGTTATTAATGATTAATGCAAAACAGGTGGATGGTAAATCATACTTCCTGCCACCATGGTGGCAGCTACCTACATTTTCTAATTTAGACAGTCAAGCAGTAAATGTTCTAAATTTATTGTTTTTATGTACCTTTCCAGAGGCTCTTAAGATCCTTCACTCTCTCATGAGTGGATATAGAATACACTTCATGTTTGTTAAGTGGAAAGAGCCAATATAAAATTTTCTGGTGCCAGAATTTCTTACTCTGCAATAGACACATATTTCCAATGAAAATGTTTATATAATGACAGCTTGTTATACTTAAAGTAAATCTGACAGAGTGAACTGTAGTTGTGCTATAGGTCAACCAGACTCGAGAGATGGTTGAAAATCTAACAACTGTAAGCATTGCCTGAATCCTCCTTTTATCTGGATCTGTTTGGATTGCCATACAGAAGATATAAAACTGTTATAATTAAAAAATGAATAAACACAAGTTATTATTGCTGAGTTTTTAAATCCATAGTCATTTCATCATGAAGATAATTCTAACACAAAATAAGTATTTCTAACATTGAAGCTTCATTCTGGTGGAAATCTCGTCACTAGGTTATATTTTTAAGGAGCATTTTTTCTTCAGAGTTGATAGAATATAATCTGACCTGCGGTAATGATAACTAAAGCGAAATAATGTTGAAAGTAAAACCAATCAAACTAGAATAGTGGTATTTCATAGCCAATTATTCATATGTCTGTTGTGATTGAAAAATAATAATTTAAAAATAATTTTTAGAGGAATGAGGAAAAGGAGGAAGAGCAGAAGGAGGAGAAAGAAAAAGATTTTATATTTTAATTATTGTCTACGTATCTATTACATTTTAGTTTCCCCATTGGTTGGTGTTTCCTACCTTTGTCCCAACATCTAATGTCAATCAATATGATCAATGTTACATAAAATTAAGGATATATGCTAGAATATATGTATGGATTAATCTAAAGTTTAGCTTAAATTCAAAAGTGGACTAATCAAAACAGTAACTAATAGCAGCAGAGGAGTCACCATGCCCAGCAAAGTAGCGCCTAAAACTGTGCCCCCATGAGTCAAATGTTCATATGAAAAGAGAAAATTTCAGTAAACATTGGAACACTTAAAATTATCCCGATGTCTTACATCATTCAGATAAAGGTATTTAACTTAATATTTCAAGTTGTCTATGAAGTAGTGAACATGATGAGGTTATTAAAACACACACACATTTGTTCGAATAGAAGTAAATACACTATTCTAATTAAAGTGGATGTAATTTCAGAGTATCTATGTTGATGAGAAATAGCAACAATATAAAATACCTAATTCCACAAGTATATTCTGGATTTCTTATGCATGAAAGGTCATCAAACCAGGGGGAAAAAGCGATTAGCAAACACATTATGTTTTCACTGTTTTCCCATTTCTTCTCTTACGACACAAATTACAAATATTTTGAACAATGAAAATCCAAAGGAGAGAACCAAGAAGGGGGCAGCATTTTAAATATTTCTCAGAATGTCTGTATAATAAACTTAGTCATTGAGAATTTGATCAATAATTAATTTGAAATTTTCTAGCATTTTCATACTGTAGGCACAAATTTTTTTAAATAGTTTTTTTTATTAGTGAGAGAAATAAATGTTTTATTGAGTAGAAATAAAAACATTTATTTTTTGCAAATGGAATGAGCCTCCTTCATTGGAATGGACATATCTACTTTCCATTCTTTCATGTTAGATGAAGGACAGGTCCATTATAGGAGGCAGAGCAGGTGGCATTTCCCCACAGAGGCCTGCAGAGCATCTCTGAGACTATCAGAGGCCGTCAGTCTAAGAATAATACCTACTGGATGGAACTGAAGTGGCAACCTGTATCAAGTTCTTGCAAGATTCAAAAATAAAAATTTTCTCTTTGCAGAAAGCTTCTTTGTCTGTAGGAAAAAGAAGGGTCCATGCACCACAACAGAAACATACTGTATAAGAGCAGTAAACTCCCAATAAATGCTCAAATATAAACAGACCCATGCACACTGGTGCACACACACTCCCATGCATGTGTACACACAGACATCGCATACATAGATTTCAGCACAAAACTATTGAATAAATAATCACCTTCAGAAAAGCACTACTAAACTATGAGCTACGACAGAGACAATTTATGCTTTCTAAGATATGCAAATATTTATATCATTAATAATAAAAACTTAGAACAGAATTCAAAATCATAGGAAAGTTTTATGTTCCCATTTGAAATTAATCACACCAATATTTAAAGTTTTGTTAGAATAAAATTGGGTTGAATTTCTTCTAAAATATCGATGACCATTCCATGACAGAAATAATGTATATATAGGAGGAACAATGTAAAGAAAAGTCTGCATATGGTGAAAGTTGAATAGGGTTAGGAGCATATCAGTTTAAACCACTTCGGTTTAGGGATAGAATAACTGCACAAATCATTTTATCTGACTCCTTTATTTACTACAGACACAAACCTGGGAGTCAGGAAATCTGGGATCTATTCTATTTCTTCCACAAAGCTAGTTACTAGGTCCATCAGTAACAGATTACATCCCCATTAAAGTTACCCGTGAGGAAGACTGCTTTTAAATGAGGTTTATTCTTCAAATACTAAATACTTTAAAATATTAAATCAGAATTCATATGTGATGGTTTCTTAATTTTATGAACATAGACATGGCAGGAAATTGATATTAATGACTGCTAATAAGTTCTTAGAGTCATTCTTCCATTTCCCAGGCCTATACAGTGCTTTTAAAATGAAAGGTTATGTGCAAAAATAACTAACATCTCTGTATGATTATAAATATTTTCATTGTATACTGTACATTAAAAACCTAAAAAAACATTTCCTTGTCTTTTTCCTTGATGCATCACAGCAGAAAGAAAGCTATTATTGACTCTAAATAGCTTTCCTCTTCAAATAATATGGAATCACCTATTGTCAAATATTGTTTCTTCTTTTTACTGGCTCCTTTGATAATTATTCTTAGAAAAAGAATTTGAAAAAATAGTTGAACATGGTATATTACTCATTATGTTTTCATAAATTCATAACCACCTCTGAAATTTTTAGAACACTGGTTACAAACAGCACCATTTAAGACTAAGTCTTCAGCCCTAGCTGGTTTGGCTCAGTGGATAGCAGTGATGGCGAACCTATGACACGCGTGTCAGAGGTGACACGTGAACTCATTTTTTTGGTTGATTTTTCTTTGTTAAATGGCATTTAAATACATAAAATAAATATCAAAAATATAAGTCTTTGTTTTACTATGGTTGCAAATATCAAAAAATTTCTATATGTGACACGGCACCAAAGTTAGGGTTTTTCAAAATGCTGACACGCCGAGCTCAAAAGGTTTGCCATCACTGGGATAGAGTGTCGGCCTGTAGACGAAAGGGTCCCAGGTTCGATTCCAGCCAAGGACACATGCCTGGGTTGCAGGCTCAATCCCACCCCTCCCCCCAAATAGGGGGTGGGCAGGAGGCAGCCAATCAATGATTCTCTCTCATCATTGATGTTTCTATCTCTCTATCCCTCTCCCTTCCTCTCTGAAATCAATAAAAATATTTTTTAAAAGACTGTCTTTATAAAATATCTCTTGATTAACAGATACACTAGAGTAATATTTATTCAATTGTCTATAGTAAGATAAATATTGCAAATTAACTATCAAATTAAAATTATAAAATTTAACTGAAAGTACATATTAATATTAACTTGTATTACTATTTATTAACTAATCAATAAATAGATGAATTTTAAATTTTCTTAACTCTCAGTGATCAAAGTGTAATAGGTAATGTTTGCAAGCCTAGAAATATTTCAGGTAACAGGTAGGTAGAGATATGATATGTTTTTCTCCTAAAGTTATTTTTATATTTCAATCTAATGAAAACTGAGAAAACTTGGGGAAGAACTATAATGCACCAACTCTCCATCTTAATATAAATGTTCCTGGTATTTTTGCATAGCAGCTTTCAGGGTTGCTCCCACTCACATCTTGGCCGTGTGCATAATGCACAGATAGTTTTCTACCGAGTTTTCCATTCATATTTTATCGTAGATAACTATTTACACATGGAATCATTAGGTTATTTTTATCATTAAATTAATACATGGCTATCTATTATTATACTTGAAGCATTATTAAAACTCAAACAATAATTTCAATGTGAGTAGCACCTATCTATTAAAATGGGTGATCTTTTGTAAATTCTGATTTTGTGAGATGATCATAATTAGGACATTAAGTAACAAGTCCTTATTAGTTACCATTTCTTGATAGCACCACACCAGCTCCTTACTACAAATATAATGCTTTTATCTTCCCTTTTCCTGAGCAGACATATTCCCCAGGAACTTAAATGTGAAATAGGTCTACTTACTCATCCAGAGCCACAGTATTTTAAATATGAATCTGACAAATGCCAAGACTTTTCCATACATCAAAAAGGAAAAAAAATACTGAAAGTTTATACTCAATGATAATTATCTTGGACTTTACAAAATAAAATCTATAAAGGGTGAAAAGTGTATCTGGTGATTTTTCGGGTCACAAATATGTTCAGTGTAACAGGTAACTAATGCCATTTGCAAAGGGCATGGTCAGCTCTTATAGTTGAGACAAACCAGGAAAAACGGTGGGCTTCCATGCTCTGTGACACTAAGCAGCTTACTCCTCAGCTGCTTTATCTGTCAAATGAATATAACAATGAGAATGTCACAGCCTTATTGTGATTGTGAGAGGTAATGTGTGTCTGCATAGAAAGTTCTCAAAATGGCAGCTATCTGACGGCTTGGGGTTCAACTTCCCCTTGAACTTCATTGTTCAGCGTACTTTACTACCAACACGCCATCAAACAATTTAGGCTAGACCAGTGATGGTGAACCTTTTGAGCTCGGCGTGTCAGCATTTTGAAAAACCCTAAATAACTCTGGTGCCGTGTCACATATAGAAATTTTTTGATATTTGCAACCATAGTAAAACAAAGACTTATATTTTTGATATTTATTTTATCTATTTAAATGACATTTAACAAAGAAAAATCAACCAAAAAAATGAGTTTGCGTGTCACCTCTGACACGTGTGTCATAGGTTCGCCATCACTGGGCTAGACTCTATCAGAATGAAGTGTTGTCACCTAGTTGACTTATAATTTTTAAATACATCACTGATAAATACTAAAAACAGAGACAATTTCTTAAAGTCATCTGTGTCAGTAAATGTGATTTACAGCAAATTAACTATTATGAGCTTTAGTACTAAGGTAATTTTACAATTAATTTGTAATTTTACAATTATATGACTACCTAGAAACTGGCATAAAGACTATGTTTGCCCTGTGCTGAGAACAGCATCTTTTGTATGTGCCCTCGTATCTCTATTATAAGAATTAAAGTAGTATGTCTTATATTTCAATAGTACTGTTCTAAAGACATAAACAAAAAACCTGTCTTTATGATTAGGAAAGTTTTTCCTGGCCAAAAATATCAGAGCGTAAATTTTAAATATTCTGATAACTTTAAATTTAATTGTGCTTTGTCACCAGTATACATAACATGTACCCTTTAAAAAAGTATTATTAAATAAAATGAACAACTAATTAAATGTGAGAAAGATCCTGAATAATATTAATATGATTATCAAATGTATTTATTTTACAATTTCAATTTTTAAAATGAATAATTTGGTGGCTCTAAGTAAGATAAGAAGCCTTATCTCTAATGACTGGAAACCTAAAGTTTGCAGCATCCATGATATTTTTAAAATAGTGAAAACGAAGGAAGTCTTTTTTCATTGAAATAGGATATTAAAAGTCTACTTTGAATAACATAAATCTTAAATGAATGCCTCAGAACAATTTTTAAAAGGCAATTAAATCTGGGGGAAGGAAGAGAATGAGAACAAGGGAATCAAATCCATTGTATTTTGAATGTACTTTTGTGTATGACTTGAAGCTCAATGGAGCTTGTGAACCATTAACTTCAATTACACTGAAAACTCCAAACAAACCATTGCTATTGTAAATCTCATTAATTTTAAACACATGGGGACTGGAATAAATGGACTTTGAATTAACTCCATGCAAATTACCTAATATTAAAATATAATTGGAATTCAGTTGCTGTAAATTGCTTCCCAGTCTGAAAGGCAGAACAGATTGCTATACTAAGGTTTATTACAATTTTATCTAGCTTTAAAATTTCATAATAATATTTCTATTAGGTATGAAATGGGAAACTAAGGTAATTTTACTAATGTTTCTATATATTTTCTTGAAACTTGGGAACCTTTTATCAAATTTCAGCTCTTTAAGAGAGAAATTTTAGTCCTAGCCAGCTTGGCTCAGTGGGTAGAATGCCAGCCTGTGGACTGAAGGGTCCCAGGTTCGATTCCAGCCAAGGGCACATGCCTGGGTTGCGGGCTCCATCCCCAGTATGGGGTGTGCAGGAGGCAGCCAATCAATGATTCTCTCACATCATTGATGGTTCTATCTCTCTTTCCTTCTCCCTTCCTCTCTGAAATCAATAAATATATTTTTAAAAAAGAGAGAGAAATTTTACTGTGAGTTCATTAAACTATTAAATTCCAAACACAGAAGTGCCAAATGCTAAATATATCTACTAATACATTGTTTTTGGTAAAATGATAATTTCCTTAGTTCTAAGTCTCTTCCTGCAATCACTTCTATGATGATGAGGCAAAATGTGATTTTAACATCAACTAGTAAGAAGGATACATATATAATAATAAAAGAAGTATATTGCTAAATAGTAAGAATTAAAAAATAGGTTTCTAAAATGAGACCACATATTCTAAAAACAAAGATAAATTATTTTGAAAAGGTCTGACAGTTTTTGGAAGTTTGGTATTATTATCCCCATCCACTTGTAAAGAGTGAAGTCACTGTATGAAAATACTATTATAGTAATTTTGTATTACTTATACCAGCCTTCACCATATTTTATTAGTTTATCTAATATCTAAGTGTTTGAGAGCTACATTTCAATAGGGCACCTATTATTAACATTCTGCTTTTACGTAAAAATTGTTCATCATAGGATAAATGTTCATGCATTCTCTGTACCTTCAAGTTTACTTTCATAGAATAGGTAACATCATTATTTAAGCCAATCCACCTTGAAAATGTGTGATATGCACATGCAGCTTGTGAATACTGATACCTGAGAAGAAATGCGCTTTGAAGCCCTTCTTGGATACAGTGTTGTCAGATTTGAACTCAATTCTCATGTTGTTGAACTGGGATGTGATCACTTCAGGAACTTCAGCACCACAAAATTTGCCATGCAATTTAGACTCAGAGGAAAGGCCACTCCAAATCTCCACATAATCGTATTTGCAAACCTAGTAAAAAACACACATGGTTATTATAGTCACAAGATTTGGAAGTATCAGATAACTGACATTTATTTTTTTAATTTTATTTTTCAATTACAGTTGAAATATTGGGAGGACCACTTTGTAAAGTATATGACTATATTTCCTATGTTGTATTTTCCATTAAATTGGAATTGATAGGTAACAAAAAAAATAAAGGAAAGGTCCCAACTATGAGACAGAAATGTGTGCTTGTTTATATATATTTATAGCATATATCTTATATCTCTTTTTAAATGTTCAAATATTTAAGTTTTCACTAGGAACTGTGAAAAAATTTGTCATATACCATCTTATTCAATGCTGACAACAGCTACATGAAATTTAGTCCATGAAGTAACCATTAGCAATAGACATGATCCTTTCTATTGTAAAGATGAGAAAAATGAGGCTCAGAAATTCTATATAACTTGCCCAAACTTATACATCTTATACATTGCAGTGTGGTGATTGATAACATGGAATTTGGCTTGGTCCAGAGTTGCCTCCCAGAAAATTTATTCTAATCAGAACAGCACCATTAGGAAATTTCAAAGTAAGATACTGGTATATAATAAAAAGGATCCTTTGTCTTTCAAACTTATCAAACAAAGTGGTATTTCATTTTTAAAAAAATATATTTTTATTGATTTCAGAGAGGAAGGGAGAGAGAGAGAGAGAGAGAGAGAGAGAGAGAGAGAGAGAGAAACATCAATAAGAGAGAATCATTGATTGGCTGCCTCCTGCACACCCCAGACTGGGGATCAAGCCCGCAACCTGGGCATGTGCCCTTGACCAGAATCGAACCTGGGACCCTTCAGTCTGCAGGCCAATGCTCTATCCATTGTGCCAAACCAGCCAGGACCAAACTGATGTTTTTTAATTTCTTTGAGTTGCTCAGAAGCATTGCTGCAGGACTACAAACAACAATAATTCTATACAGTGGGATGGAGGCAGACATTTATACTAAAAAGCGATAGAATTTATATGTAATATACAAACACCACCAAAGTGGCAGAAGCTAAGTGAATGCCAGGTATTCTTAAGCAATCTTATGGCCACTAACAGATGTTTCCATCATACAATTCTAAAGTTTCGACAGGGCACGTTAAAGAACACATCTTGCATGAATGACCTTATTACAAAAATGTGTAATTAGCAAGTGTAACAACGCATATGATTGAACCCTGGGGTATGATCTGTACCTTGTAATATGTCAACTCAAATTACTGGTTCTTGGGGTTTTAATTAGGTGATAAATTAGCAAGATATTGCTAGAAAAAAAATGAAATAATTTTTCTATCTACTTTGTTACAGCTGCAACTTTTGTTTAGAGAGACCTCTGACATTGGATAGGAGAATGTAACCAAGGCCAAAGTTGTTTGACATTGACTTTCCTTTTGGATATCCATTTAATGAATAAAATAACTAAGTTTTAGCTAAACTCAGTATTCTATACAGTCAGGTTTTTGCGCATGCCTTTATTTTAAATAGTTAAGACATCCAACTATGAAAATACACAGAATTTTGTAACATCCTTCCACACAGGGACATTATTATAAGTTTAAGACTCTGAGATATGTTACTGAGTCTGAATGGGGTTTCCATGAATAAAGACCATTACCAAGAGAAAAATGCTTTTCGAACACAAATCTCCATTTACTTAGAGCCACCCCCCCACCCCACCCCCGCTTCTTCCTGAATATAAACATCTAGCCTTCTTAGGAACATTTATCAATGAATGAATCAAAACGTCCTATCTGCCACAACCAATAGCTTTAGGGAAAATTGAAAGAATAGAAGTCATTCAACACAAAGTTCATATCAAACCACGGCACTGGTAGGGAGATTCCCATTTTCAAAAAGTGTCACTCATATGAAAGCTCTTCTAAAAATACTATAAAAATTATTTTCGTCATTCAAAGTTCCTCTATATTTCAGATAAGACTAAAGGAAAAGAATATTCCATGTGGATAAAGTATTTTGTGAATATAAACTGTGGTCTTTCCCATCATAAAATGTATACATGACGTAAAGAAGATCTCAAAATGTCCAGTGAGTCCTAAAAGTCTACAGTTCTCTGAAATACAAATGTTAATCACATTGCAGACTTTAATTTCCTTTAAGGAAACACAAAAATCAGCAACTTCTTTTTACCTTGAAGCCATTAGTAAGAGGTTTAAAATCACACAGAAGCGCCTTTCAAATCAATCATTTCATTTGTTTAAATGTGGTCACCTGACAGAAAACTGTACCTTCACTACAGTAAGTTTTTGTAAAGGAAAGATAGCATCAATTAAGTGCATTTTTATTGAGGTTAAAAATATTAATTTTGTAAATCAAAGACAATATCAACTAAAGGTACCTTTTATTAAGGGTAAAGTATTAACCTTCCCTTATTTGTGAACAGGGAACACATTCATAATAAAATACTAGTTATGTAATGAAAACATATCCATTGCCACAAGTCAAATATACTGGCTTCTCCCAAAAGAATATTTTTGTTATGACTCAACCAGTGGATTTTGGTTTATTTTCATTTTAGAAAAGTCCATGTGACATGAAGCTGACCTTAATGTTCTCAAAATTCTTTAATAAATCACAAATGCTGCATATTAATACACTAAATAAAAACCCCCTCAAAGTAATTTTCAGTCTCCCTGAAACAGTCTAAAATATTATCCAAGGCCAACAGGAATTATAAGCAGTTGCAGAAATGAGCAGTACAGCAAAGAAAGACTACAATATCTATACCATTGTACCACCAAAATACATTCTTTCTTTCCTTACATTTTTAGTTTATCAGTTTGCCTTCAGGAAATCCAAAAACACAATAGAAAAAAATTATATTTGTTATTCACTTACTTCATTGCCCTCCAATTCAAAAAACTCAAACTTCACAGAAATTCTGTACTGAGTTGGCGCAACCACTTGCCACACACAGTTTTTATTAGGAGGGTACTCTTTGGGCCAACCTGGAGTGGTGATGGTGCCATTAAGTTTGGTAAGAAGTCCACCACAAGCCGCTAGAAGAAAAGAAAAGGAAATAATTTTTCCTTAACAAAGTCATCTTAGCACCTTCCCATTGATAACCCAACATCTCAGCATTAAATTTCAACCATCTTTCAGATTTTTCAAGATGTAGAGCATTGCAGTCTCTGTTCCTTAGACTTTAGTACAACTATTTTAATCATCTAGTCCCACTTATAAACTGCTATTCAGTAGCGTTGGAACCAAGCAAAGTATGGTTGTACTACAGCATTTTAGATCATTTTAAAGTTGGTTGATCAATATAAGGAAAACTGGGTGTCTGCATCCTTGTCTTTTAAAAAATATATTTTATTGATTTCAGAGAGGAAGGAAAGGGAGAGAGAGAGAGAAACATCAATGATGAGAGAATCATTGATTGGCTGCCTCCTGCATGCCTCACACTGGGGATTGAGCCTGCAACCTGGGCATATGCCCTTGACCGGAATCGAACCCAGGCCCTTCAGTTCACAGGCCGACGTTGTATCCATTGAGCCAAATCAGCTAGGGCTCATTGTCTCTTAAATGGCTATAATAATATCTACACCATATGGTAGTTGTGAGAATCAATGAAAAGTACAGGTAAAGCACAACGGGGTCTGATGCTGTAAGACCACAATCAATTGGTTATTTCTTTATACTCTTTTTTCCCAACACAAGCAATTCTTGGAAACAGTTGTCTGTGTAGCAAGCAAGATAAACTATACTAAATATAACATAGCTATTATTCAAAAAATCCAATTAGAAGTATTTTTTCCCTTTTGGATGAGCTATTTAAAAGAAGTACTATTTATGTTACCCTTCTTCCTCATTGAGAGGGAGTTTAGCAAAAATCAGGGAATCCAAGAGGAAGCTGAGTGAAAAGAATATGTATTGTATTTGGTTTACAAATAATTGCTAGGGAGTCAAGAGTTACCTAAAGTAACTGTTCTCTGCTTTCATTGCCTGTGTGTGTGTGTGTGTGTGTGTGTGTGTATGATGGGGCAAAAGTAGGTTTACAGTTCTGAATATATGAAACAGTTTATTCTTATATTATTATTTATTACTGTATTATTTTTCATATGAACACTGTAAACCTATTTTTGTCTCTCTCTCTCTCTCTCTCTCTCTCTCTCAATAGGGAGCTTACATTTTTGTTGGAAACAAAAATAGCCTCAATACATACATAAACATGAATAATATAAAAATGTCTCAAGTTTTATGAAAATGATTTTGGTAGAAATCTTCAGAGAGGAAAAAATGAGGAACAGAATGGAGGAAGCAGATCAATTTATGTATTTTGTCTGTTACTCTTGCATGAGGCCTTCAGTGTGGAACAGGGGAAACGGAAGAGTCAGCTTTAACTTCTGAAGGAAAAGATCACAGGACATCGCAACAAAACACCGTACGAGAAATCTCATCTTAGAATACAGAGGAAATGCAGAAAACATAGCAAAATGTCTTTGTTTATGAATCTTTTATTAATAACGTGTATTCAGTTCCTGCTTTATGTCTGTCTGTGCTAGATGCTGGAAATACAAAGATGACTAAGAGTCAGGACTCTGCAGTTCAATAAGGGAGACACACCATAAATTATGTTTAAGAAAAGGTAATAGTGAGTGATAGATGAATGAACAGGAGGATAAAAATATAGGTTCAGAGAGAAATAAAAACAGAAATAAATAGTTAGATAGATGATAGACAGATAGATGATAGATAGATGATAGATAGATGATAGATAGATAGATAGGTAGATAGATAGATAGATAGATAGATAGACAGACAGACAGACAATTGGCCTGCATAGCAACCAAAGGTGGAAACAACTGATTTTATAATGAGAACCCAGGCAGTTTCACATCAGCTGTGACTAAACATTGAGTTTTACTAGTTGAGGAAAGAAGTTATTATAAAGGAAAGGAAAGGAAGAGGGAGGCAGAAAGAAAGGAAATGAGACTTTAATGAAAGAAAGAAATTAGGTAGAGGGTTTCAGCAGGGAACGCCAAGTGCAAACCCAGCCATACCTTCACAGCTCCTTCTGTCAGGCCCCAGCTCGTAGCCAGGCTCACACGCACACTGGTAACTGCCCAGGGTGTTCAGACACCGCTGCTCACAGCCGCCACGGTCAGGCTTGGCACACTCGTCTTCCTCTATAAAGACGGCACGAGTTAGAGAATGACTGGAGTATTTTGTTTTTATATACTAAGGTGTAAGATTTTTTGAAATTATGATATGCTTAATAGCTCTGAATGAAAACGAGCCAATTCATTGCTTCAACAAAGGAGCAGGAACAATTTGCAAGCCCTTAATAGATGAAAAACAAGAATTCATGTCACTGCATCCTAAGAACATGTAAGAACCAAGAGAAGTACTAGAAACCTAGAGCAGGGCCAACTGCAGATCACCGTATCTCAGACACAGTATTATTATTTTTCAGAATGAAACAGAAAAACTTTCTGAAAAAAACACAGCTTCACCTGCTGATGTCGTAGTATAGTTTTCTAGATATCTTAAAAAATGCTTTTAAAGAAATATGTCATGGTGAATATAAATTAAAAAGGAAAACCTCAGAAACTTACTGGACCTCTTTAAATGTAAAGCACTCAGTGTTTTTATATAGACGTATTAATCCAGAAAATATAATAATTTCATATTTTTACACCAATATACTCTTTTAATTATATATGGAAACAAAAATGTACTATATGAAAAAATATATTCTTCTTAAAAAAAAAAGACATTCTAGGTATACCACTAAGAGGACATAAATGTTTTCCAATGTAGTAAAAGCCATTCTATAATGGGTGATTTGGAAATGCTGTCACCTAGAAATAAACTGATGAACTACAAGTCAGTATGAATTCTTTGTTGACTATATTGCAAATATTTTCTCCCAGTCTATAGATCCCTTTCTGAATTTTACTTTGTCTATTTCATTTTAAAAAGGTAGAATATCCTAATGGAACTAATACTCTAATACCCTGTGCTACAAAGTCCAAAATTCTAGTATTTTACCAATAACCTTAGTCCTCAAAACCCACCAAAATCCCCTTATGAACAGCGCATACTTCAACTTTCAATAAAACTTTACTCCAGTTGTCCCTACCTCAAAGCTAAATGTCACATTTATCCTGAACAAGGAAAATCTCATATTTCAAATTATTTTAAATTACCTTTAAAAAAATTGGCAGCAAACCCTGCCTTGTTCACAGTCCCATCAGAAACAAACTTCATCCACAAGGTGTTGGAGGTAGACCTGATATCTTCAGGTTTATCATAACCACAGAAACGCCCTATCAAAGGGCTATTTTCTTTGGTCCCATCTCGAACTTCTAGGTAGTCATAGGCACAGTTGTCATGTCTTTCAATCTTAGAGAGTAAAAGTATGTGAACATATGTCTCATTAATAGATAAAACAATTTCTATAGTAAGATTATTATGTATTTTCAGTGCCATAATACTGATATGGTCATATAACAGATTACTTATATTAAATAAGAACATATCTTGCAAGTGTGCATGGTGATTATCTACACTGCCCATGGATAAAAGACCCATATTATTTTGGTAAATATGGAGAGATAAAAAACAAATCTACAGAACAATACATCTGTATGCATCTGGATCAACGAAAGTTAAACTGCCTTTTAAAAGAAAATTAAAATACAAGCGGTAATTCTTTAGAAAATAGAACGGATAACATATCCGTACTTATAATGGTCCTTAAAAGTCTGGGCCAGATTATGCTACAAGCAGTGTAAAATTTTCTCAGGAATATAGCTATAACAACTGCCCATTGTTAATCAAGGAAATGGTTATTTTATTCAAAAAAAGCTGCATTCAAATTCTATTGGCAAATATTACACTGTTTTAGGTTATAGATATCTTTTTGAGGGAAAGTCTGGTAATATGGATTACATTACTTCCCAGTCTATGGAATTCTTTACTGATAGTTAGCATAGTTACATGTAGAAAGACCACCATACTGTAGAGTCAGCACTGGCTAGGCCTTTCTCCAAGTAGATGAGCCCTTTTACCTCAACACACTCCCCTCAACCCATATTAAGTGGCAGAACTCAATGTATCTTCTTCAACAACTAAATGCAAATGGTAGATCAGACTATCGGCCTATGAAACTTATGGAGAACTGTAAGTTCCTGGACTCATGTTTTTGCCTGGAACTACTTCTAAAAGCAACAGAGCCAAAATTTACAAATTATTTTAAAAGCTATGAGACAATTTCTAAATAAAATTCTTGCTTTTTATTTTACTTTTTTTACAGAAAGGAGGCACTCATCCTGAAATCTTAATAGAGTCAACTGCTTATTAGATATCTGAAGCTAGAGAACCATGAAAAGTATTCCATCTTGTGAACCACTGTCTGACATACACTTTGCTGATATATAGAATTCGGTTGCAAAATACAGTCATTCATGGAACTACAACTAGAAGGCACAGAAATACTGCATAGTTGTTGGAAGAATCTGTTTCCTGAACTGTCGAACATTAATAGCAATAGTCTTCAAATTAAGTAGCATAAGGACAAAAGACAAAAAATAGATTTTTGAAGCACAGATTTGGTTAGAACTAAGAACTACATTTGCTGCTTCCTTTTCCCAATCACAGTAGGATTCCTTCATTCCTTCAACAGTCAGTGCCTATTCTCTGCCAGGCACTCTTCCCACTGCTTGGAAGGCACCATTCAGCAGAGTGACAGCGCCACACCCTCATGGGACTTAGCTACTTCTGGTGGGTAGAGAGCAAAGGAACAATCAACAGGAAAATAATTAAATCATAAACTATTAGAAAGTAATACATTTTATGGAAAAATATAAAGTGGAACAAGAGGTAAGAGAAATTGGGGGTAGGAGGTGTGAACGTTGCTCCATCAGGCTTATTAAATTTGATTAATAAATTCAGACTTTTCCCTAAAAATGTATTCTCGTTCTGTGTGAGATTATGGGAATGAATAGAAAATATTTAATATAAATAACATCTCATTTTTTAAACACACTTTTTAAACTGTAGCTGTTTAAATGGAGAGATGGGGAGGGAGAGCTAGTAGTAACTAATTAAGGCACTAATAACTTAATTAGTCACTGGAGATGACCAGGCCAATCTGATCAGCGATATATATGCTTTCTTCTCGTAGCCTTTAATATACTCCTTTCAAAATAAAAGTTCTCTATAAAGATGAGACCATTTCCAGATGGCCAAAGGCTATTCTTCAGTCAAGGGGTCATATAAAATAACATCTAAAGCACTCAAGGTGTAGGGCTTGATGGAAGAATAAGCAACATCGAACTAGAGACAAAACTGCAGGGAAAATAACCCATGTTCTCAGCAAGCCATCCTACACTCACTTGCTTAAAGCAGCACAGAATGAACTGCCCCTGACTCATGAATCGTATTGGAAGGGGGAAGGGGGAGCTAGAAGAAGAAAGGAAGAGAGACCACACAATGAAGGAAGAAGCTCCTTGTAGTAGGAAGTCAACTAATAGAAACAGAATTACAGTGCAGCATAAAAATTAAGAAGATTAATTTAAAAAGCTTTTTAATTATTATTTGAGGAGATTGCTGCTTTTAAAAATTACAGTATTACAAGGAGAAAAACAAAATAGACACTATTGAAAATGAAACAAAAATTTATATTTTTTCAGTGATTGAAAATAAATAAGATAATGGATATTTCTCTGTAAATAAAACTCAGTCTATTTTTTAACAGATATGCAATAGATCATTTTAAATTTTAATTTAAAGTATAGTCACTGGCTACTTAATAAGTTTAAATAATTTATATGAAACACAAGGATAAATATTTCATGATCAATTGTAGGATTGATTCCACTAGTAGCTATTTATGAATTATGTATTACTTACATATTAAATATTATGCACCTGGTGTTATGGATAACACAATAGAAATATGCACTGTATTCTCACATAGTAAAGGCTACAGTTGTTGAATTACTTAGAAAATAAAATGTGCCTCATACATATGAATTTATAATATTCAGAAATGCATAACCGGTTCACCAACCATCCTGGATAGCTTACCAATGACCTCAATGACCTTTGTTTACATATTTTTCCAGCTTAACTGAATTAACCCTAAGTGGAATGCCAGCACAATGAATCTGGTATATTGGTGTTATTATAATTATACCTTTCAACTACATCTCCACAGAAGTAATGGTGAGCACAAATGAAAGTTTCAGTTATTGTATTTATGTCACTTGAGTAGCATTTGCTCCAGCTATATCAATTATTTAATCAAGCAATATACTGATTGGCTAGAAATAAATATGGTTGAAGCTAAAAAGTGAATAAGTGTATTGATATTATGCCGGTAACTTTAAGCTCCATGAGAAAAAGAACATCAAATTCAGTGATTTATAAAAACAGTTAAAAAAAAAAAGCAGTTTCTTCTTGAGTTATAGCCTGGACACAGTTCACAGATATGCGACCTGAATGCAATGCCATGCACAGCTGCACATATAATAAATTTGTTTGGATAATGATGACGTTAATTTATTACAGACTTTAAGGTAACCAAACCATATATGAATGTGGCCAAGTTTATCTCAATGTAAACAGACCTAACATGCATATAGAAAATACAATGAAAATCATAGTAAGCTTCTAATATATTTAGAAAACTGATATTTAGGAGATATTGGAAGTAGACGCAAATACACAAAGAGGGAAAAACAAGTACACAGATTAGTGAGAAGGGATTAAGGTTACATTTCGTTACTCAGTGGGGCTCATGCCTTTACTCGCAGGTTAGAGAGGGAGCATGAAAAAGCTGAGCAACTTCCAATTAGCAAGAACTAAAATCAATTACAGGTCATCTAACGTGGTCAGCCTCGCATTCTAAAACTGCCAGGCGGTGCACAGCTTTGTGGTCAGTGCGTGTGGGTGAGCGCCGACACTGAAGGAGAGCCCGCCTGGAGGAAGGACTGTGCCTCTGCGCAGGGCCCATTCATGCACTTTGCTTCCATTTTATAACCAAATTTCTAAAAATAAACATAACACTGCAAAAATATCTACTGAAGTACCTAATTTGTAAAAAGCTTGAAAAATTCCAAAGTTTCCAGATAATATTTCCAATAAAAGCTCTCCCATGTTCCCTGAAAAATTAAAAATAGAATTCCCATGTGATTCAGCAACCCCACTTCTAGGTATATAACCCAAAAATTGATTGCAGTGTCTCAAGGAGATATTTGTAAATCCATGTTTATCGCAGCATCATTCACAATAGTCAAAAGGTGGAAGCAATCCAAATGTCTGTCACAGATTAATGCATAAACAAAGGTGGTACATAAATACAACAGAATATTATTCAGCCTTAAAAAGGGAGATGCCTAGGCAGCATGGCTCAATGGTTGAGTGCTGACCTATGAACCAGGAGGTCATGGTTGGATTTCAGGTCAGGGCATATGCCCGGGCTGTGGGCTCCATCCCCGGTGTGGGGCGTGCAGGAGGCAGCTAGTCGATGATTCTCTCTCATCATTAGTGTTCCTATCTCTCTCTCTCCCTCTCTGAAATCAATCTATATATCTATATCTATATCTATATCTATATCTATATCTATCACAATCTATTACAACATGGATGACCCATGAAGATATTACACTAGTAAAATAAGCAGCCACAAAAAGGCAAATTCCAATTACATGAAGTATCAGAGTAGAGTAGATAAAGTCATAGAGAGAGAAATGAGAAGAATGGTTGCCAAGAGTTGGGCCTGGGGGTAGGGGAGAAAGGGAGGTTGTTGTTTATAGAGTTTCAGTTTTGCAAGAGTTCTGGAGAGGGATGGTGGTGATGGTTGCACAACAATCTGAATGTACTTGACACTACTGAACTATACACTTAAAAAATGGTGAAAATTGTATATTTTATATTATGTCTATTTTACCATAACAAAAAAACATAACCCTCTCCTGTGACTGTTCGTGTGTAGCTTAAAAATATAATTAATGCAATCAGCTCCTAAATGATTAAACTTTTATAGAAAATATCCTGTGAAATTATATACATTTGGAATAATGCTCAAGTAATTATTCTTTTTAAAATATATTTTATTGATATTTTAGAGAGGGAGGAAGGCAGAGGGATAAAGAGATGGAAACATCAATGAGAGAGAAACATTGTTGATCAGCTGCCTCCTATACCCTCCACTGGGATTGAGCCTGTAACCCGGGCATGTGCCCTGACCGGCAATTGAACTGGTGGTCTCATGGTTCTTGGCTGGACGACCAACCACTGAGGCATGCCAATGAGGCTAAAGTAATTATTCTTTGCTTTGGAAGAACATGTTAGTATATAACTAGCAAAATCAATGTTAGTCACTAAGTATTAGTCAC